CGCATTGGGTTTCTACCCGATACACTAGTTCTTTTTTTGAATGAATGTGTGACGACTTGTTAACTTTTCTCTATATCGGCTTCACCAATGAAGATTCAGAATAGAAATCTCACTACAAATGTGGTTTCGTGATTAAAATACGTTTCATAGCTAGTGTGTTTAACAATTTTGTGTTTGCTAGACCTAAGCCAAAGACTTCCAAAGAATTGTTTGATTCATTTCCAGGAAATGTTATACAAAAAAAAAGAAATAATTCCTTTAGTCTGTTTGTAATAATTAGGTGCAAACCATTATAATTGGGACCAAAAAAAGCTTAATGACATATCAATGCGCCACGGTATACAATTTGATAACCACTGTTTAAAATATAATAATTCACCTTGACACTGATCCTCTGTTTTATTTGAGTTTTAAGAAGAGAAATCACGATTTTTTTTTTCTGTGGTATCTCGCAAAGTCTCCCCCACATTGAAAACGTGCTGTTATATTTTCACTTACTAATATCCAACAATCAACCAACCAGACAGTATTGTATAATGATTAATTTTATATGAATATTTAATTCAGATTTGAAGTTTAAATTTGTGATTTCATTTATAACATGTGAAATTAAAGGAAAAAAAAGTTATAAATATATGAACAGGGCTATATCTAGAAACATTTTTGAAGTTAAGGAGGATTTTATTTTTCAAAATAATTTCCAATGGTTTTTGACCTGCACAAACCCTAGCTATGCCTCTGAGTAATGAACAAAGGATGTATTAAATTTTCATACAAATAAAAAAACATTTGGTATCCACAAGAAATTTGCTTGAATTTTCCGAAACTTTACATTTGCTTATGTTTTCTGTTTGTTTACGTGCATCTAGGCGCTATATTTTGAAGAAAATAAAATTTTTTGAGGAAAACATCTTAATTATATGAGTATATATTCTTTCAAAAATAAAAGAACTAATTTTTTTGCGAAAACACCACCAAGAAACACATTTAGCTTCGGTTTTCACAGACAAAAAAAAATATCGTCACATGTGTAGTAATAGTACGTACATAATTGAAAAGTGTAATATAATAACTGACCTTACTATGTGTCCTTGATTTTTTGTCTATTTTCATTTTCGTTAATTTATCGTCTCATCAAAGGATTAGTTGGTAGCGTATGTAAATAAAATGTACTAAAATGTTTGTTAATTAGCTTCATAAAAATGACTCGCATTTCTTCAACAAAAGAAGAAAAATAAATTGAATAAATGAAAAATAATTTCATTTTTATGGTTCCTCGGAATGTACTTTGGTAGAGAAAATTGTATAGAGCATACAATAATAAAATATACTGATGTTCGCATCTGCACAAATGATTGTATGTAGGTTCGCTATAAAAAAAATTTAAAAAGGAAATATTTAAAATTTTATGCGTCTTTTGAACAATTTAGAGCACACGCTCATTCTTAACCATTCACAATTTCTCACTTCCTCTCCATAAAAAAAAAATATGGCATGCATTACAGACCTTCACACGAAAGGAATGAAATTTTATTCACATTCTATCAAGTTATTACCTAGTGTCAATTTTACTAAAAGCTCGCATATGCGCAGTTATAAACATTCGTTTATGATATATTTTAATATCACATTTCACTTGAATATAAATATAAATAGAAATAGATTCTGCCGATAAAAATCATATCCTTACTCAATAGGTCACTAGACTGTCATAGACATTTTATAGTATCTGTGCAAACAAGAAGTTTTGTATTGATTGATTCTGATCAAAAACAGTTTTGATAATGTAGATATTTCAACTGGCGCCCACACTTTATAAAGGTGTTGCAGGAAGTCAATTACTCATCAGATTACCGTCTAAAAATATTGAATTCTACGTCAGATACAATGTACAACCCCCAACTTCTTTGTATTTATATCCGATCATTTCGTAAGAACACAAACAAAGTTCCATCGTGTTTATTATTTTTGTAATCCGTTGGTAATATACATCACATAGCATCAATCAATAAACAAATCGGAAGTTGTTTCATCTATCAAAGTAATGTGTAATATCAGTAGACTTAGCTGATTATTGTGTTGGTTAAAAAAAATTTAAACGTGATTTTATTTTATGACGCTTTTTTCGTGAATAAAAATAAATAAATAGATGATCTGAGGTGCAAAATTAGAAACTGAAGAGCATATACACTCTATTTATAAACGTGTTCATTGCATTTTAATGGGCGCAATCGACGATAATCAATCCACTTCTCTTCAACTTCACATTGTTTATGTACACACATATAATATCTGGGATGTAAACATGTAAACATGTATATTCACAGAAATATAATATTTAATTTAATAGATTTCAAGACCAGGCCGTATGCTGACTAAAAAGTTTACAATTTACTCTCGTGTAAATAAGGTCAGTTTTTCTCTTTACGTCATTTGGTTTGGGATAAAAATAATTCAATAATTAATCAATCGCATATATTTTTAATTATCTCCTTTGAGAATCATTAAAGCTTATGTCTAGGCGGTGTAGAATTTATATTTAAAGATTCTTAATAAAAATGTTATTTTTAGAATCATACAAATATTCATTCGTTCAAACGAAATTCCTATATTTTATTCATTAAAGGAGACTTTTGAGCATTAAATTATCACTTTTGTTTAACATTATGTACTACATGTGTTGACTTAGTGTCGCGAGCAGTCTACACAATGTTTGAACTATAAAGAGCTATTAATTAATAAATGGTGAACTATTTTAATGGAAATAATGACTGTATAAGCCATAATTGACAAATGTCCATTCTAATTTCTCACCAACATTAAATGAAGCTCAATAATTTCTCTTTCTTCTTCTTTTTTTTTTCATTCGGAAAAGAGTATTCATTTGGTCACGGAAGGTTACCATGAAATTTTAATTAATTGCATTTGAAAAAAGAATAAAAAAGAAGATTGGTGGATAGAGTAAAAAGTTGTCTGCTTTATTATGAGACCACATGTCAATTAATGATTTTTCTTAATTATTCTTCATAAGCAAGTTAGAGGAAAAAAATGATTGATAACATGTCCAATGATTTAATACATAATTCATAAGATTGCAATTTAAGCGAATTTATTGAGGAAACGATGTTGAAAAAAATCATTTTGAGTGACTTTTATGCACAGTTATATATCATATAATTATGATTATGCTGATTCTCTTATTTAAGTGGACCATTGAAATTCGTACGAGTCCTAAGAATATTAAAACCTTCTTAATTTTCTAAAACATGCTTTGCTTTTATGCTGAGAATTACCGACCAAATAGTAATTTGGTCATGCCATTGAACTAGGATGCCCAAACAGGATCAGGGACACTGCTGTAAATGCTGCCAAATGATTCTAATCATTCTGCCTTGAAAAACTGTCGATATAAAATACCAAACTTTTTTTAATAACACATATCCTGCAATATTTAAATTAAGCAACTGAGTATTAAAGAAAAAGAATTGTTTCTTAAAATAAAAATTTTAAATTTGTCAAATTTAAAGGAAAAATGTATTCAGCTTTAAGCCTTCTGAAAATAATTTCCTATTTTGTTTAACGACAATTTTGTCATTGTCAAGGAAAAATACATAAACATGACATTGACTTTTGGAGAATACTACAACCTTCATTATTATCTTTAATAGTCTTTAATATATTTATAATCATAATAATCAACAATAGTACTAGATATCAGACATGCAATCAATGCGCTTAGACGCCCTTGAATATTTATTTCCAAGTGTTTTGTCCCTTATCTATCAAATATTGAACCAACTTTGATTTTTCCAATCATTTGGTTATTGAATATTTTATAAATTTTCCAAATATTGACTTAGGGGTCGTTCACTTATAACGTCCGAAATTAACGGTAATTTTTCAAAAAAGAACAATGGATTTCCTGCAATTTCTATTGTTCTTTTCTTGCTTACCCCCCCCCCCCCCCCCTGGACGTCATAAGTGAATGGGCCCTTATTAAGATTTGATATAAATGATAGTACACACATAGTTTGTTTAATAACTATAATGTAAATATATTTATTTGAAAAAAATTGTTATGGTTCATGTTTCAATTAAGTTAAGGGGGTATGAATCTAGATGACAGTATTAAAAATAAGAAGTGTAGTATACCCCGAACAGACAAAGAGCATGCTCTCACTGAGTATGCTCACTTAAATGTACTGACTGAGTTAACTCGTAAGCATACTCAGCTACTATATTTTAGTAAGCATACTCATTGAGAGCATGCTCTTTGTCTGTTAGGGTACAATTACTATCGTGTACAGCACCAATCACATGATAAGAAATAAAAATCATCAAACAAATTATTTTAATCTCCATTCTGTTTTTCTTCTGATTAAATTGAAAATCTTTGATTTTTTTGCGGATTAAATCGATAAATCGGTTAAACACTCTCACAAGTGCCATATTATTTTTACAGAGTAAAGCAAAATGTCTGGATTATTATTCGTGATTCCAAGAAAAAGCAAAGAATAAAACTTACTTGAGTCAGATTTACAATTATTACGGACATTTAAAAATTTCTCAGAGCATAAGAACTAGGTTTTTGCAGATTTTAGTATTGAATTATTCTGAAAATTAAAATTAACTGACAAAAATTGATTTGATTTAATTTAAAAGATTTTAATGAATTGTGTGTATTAATAGTGAATGAACAAATTCTAAGAATGTCTGTGAAAAGAAGGATAGAATTAATCATTATTTTATCTTCTTCATAATTGTCAAATCTCAAAATTGGCACCTGATAAATTTTTAAATCTTACCTCCGGTTGCAGCGCTCTATTGACTTACATTAAATGTATCAGTGACTTATGTACTTGTTTATTGAATATTTATATTTTCCACGTTCCATGTGCATTAAGAATGAATGGAAAACCCACTTCTCTCAGCATGAGTTGATGCCGTTGATTTTTTATTATTTTTTATCATTTTCTTTATTCCTCTTTCTCATTAAATAGGTATAGACAGACGAGATTTTCATCTAGAAGAGTACGAAAGCGAGTAATATTTAAGCATGGAGATGTTAATGTCGTTCAAGGAAATGTAGCTAAAAGACGTAGACGATATTTGCAGGTAATATAACATTAATGCATATTGATTTCATTGCATAATTGACCAACTGCTCTACATTTTTATATATATTTTTTTTCTCTTACTGAATAATTCCAATTGACTCTTCAGGATATATTTACTACATTAGGTATGTACATTAATCAAAGTACTTACTGTAAATTACTATAAATAGAAATATTGCATTTTAATTATTGCTTTCCTCTTTTCACTTTTTTTCCAATATTTGCAGTTGATATTCAATGGCGTTGGACAATACTAGTTTTCGCAATGAATTTTATTTTATCATGGCTGTTTTTGGGCGTTGTGTGGTATTTAATTGCATATGCACACGGTGACATTGAATTTTTTAATAAGTCTGAAGAGGAGCAAGAAGCATATCAGAAGAGTCTTAATATATCCTCATACACACCTTGTGTCACCCAAATTCATTCTTTTCTCTCAGCTTTTCTGTTCTCATTAGAAACACAGCATACCATTGGTAAGTGAAACAATCGTGTATAATTTATTCTTTATTACTGATGTCAATCTAATTACTAAATGATACTTGCGAGTGGTCTCAAGGCACGGTTTTAATTTATATTGAGTACAAAAAATGAATCGAAATTACCCTCGTGGCGTGTAATATATTTTTGACGCTATTTTTATACATCATAGACTTACTGGAAGCAGAACTGTTTTTTTGTTGTTGTTTCTATATCTGTCCAGGAAATTGTGTCAATCTTTCTTCAACGGTCTCAATTAAAAATTATTTGTCATATTATTGTACATAAAATTTTCAAATCTGATTTTATGGAACCATCAATTTCCAAATTAACAGGTTTCATTCTCAAAAAGTTTGACCACAAATTCAGTGTCATGACTCTGATTAATCTAAAATTTGTTCTCAATTTATCTAAGAAAATAAGACATAAAAAATTGCACGAAATAAATTATTGCTAATTCTAAATTCAAGGTTACGGCCATAGGTATGTAACTGAGCAATGTCCAGAAGCCATTTTTATGCTTTGTCTACAAAGGTAATTTTTTTAAAAATTTAATTGCCTCATTAAGATGATTACTGATGAAATTTCATTCTCATTTTTCCTTCCAGTATTATGGGAGTATTTATTCAAGCTGTAAGTTTTTGAGTTTCGAATTATATTGAATATATATTTAATAATTGCCTCTTTTTTTCTTTTAATTTTTTTATTAATTATTTTTTTGGCATATAGTTTATGGTGGGCGTCGTATTCGGTAAGTTTCTTTTATGTCATTACTCATAAGTGTAAAATCAATCATATTTATGCAGTGTATTATGATACATTCTTTATAAACTATTATTAACACTTTTTCTCATTTTCTTCTTCTATTTTAATAGCTAAATTATCACGCCCCAAAAAGCGTGCTCAAACTTTATTGTTCTCACGGAATGCTGTTATTTGCCACCGAGATGGCGTGCCATGTCTCATGTTTAGAGTTGGTGATATGAGAAAGAGTCACATTATTGAAGCTCATGTTCGTGCACAAATAATCAGACGAAAGGTGAGAGAGGAGACTGAAAGCTTTAAATTAATTCAGAGCTTTTCGACTAAGTTCTGCTTGTTGCATATATTTTAGGGGTTGCAATGCTAAAAAGTTTCTTTAATTCTCTTTTTCTCTCATATATTCATTGTACTCTAATTCAGGTAACGAAAGAAGGAGAGCTATTACCATTTTTCCAACAAGAGTTATTAGTTGGTGCCGATGGCTCGGATGATCGTCTCATGTTTATATGGCCGACATTAATTGTACATAGGATAGATGAAGAAAGTCCACTATATAATTTATCAGCTCAAGATATGCTAAAAGAACGTTTTGAGATCGTAACGATGCTCGAGGGTGTTGTTGAATCGACAGGAATGACAACGCAAGCGCGTAGCTCTTATCTACCATCAGAAATTCTATGGGGTCATCGATTCGAATCAGTCGTTTCATTTAAACGTGAAACAGGCGAATATGAAGTAATTTAATCAAACATTTAATGATTCTTATCTCTCTTCTGTTACTCACTTACTTACTATGTACAGTCCATGCAGATGATTAATATATTTTTTTTACTTTCTACCGATTCTTTTATTTCGATAAATTCTAGGTCGATTACACTCTATTTAATAATACGTATGAGGTCGACACGCCATTATGTTCGGCAAAGGAATTAACTGAAATGAGAGCTGAGAGTCAGTCGCAAGGTGAAGCAGGTGAGTTGTTGTTGAGATGATTATCATCCATGAAAAAAAAAACAATCTTTGAATATTTTCTTCTTTCTTCTCTATCTCTTCTTCTTTTAAACAAAATATTCTTCCTTCTTCATTCCTCAATTCATAATAATTTATATCTTCTCTTCATCGTTACTATTATTGTTTATCTATTTTTTACTTACCATACTTCTCTTACTGTTTTTTTTTTATGAATTGTTGTAAATGATGGAAAAAAATCTTTTACCCATGAAAAATTATTTCTTTTCATGCTTCCCAAAATAATTTTATATTATACATTGAAATTGTATCTACTTAACAACATTAAAATTAGATCAAAATAATTCAGCATTTAATATTCATCATATTCCATCATCAGTTTCTTTAGAAACGCCGAGTGAAAGATCAGCATCGATTGAGCCGTCGAATCACGAGCTAAAGAGCTGTCTAACTCTGAATCTTCCAAATGGTAACTTACCGAATTCACGTAAGACATCATTCTCATCAATGCCAGCAACGATTGTAACAATACCTGATGATCACGAGCCTTTAACTATACCGTCCCAAACGCAACAAGAGCCTCAATCAAGTAGTAGAAAATTAAGTAAATTGTCTATAATAGATCCAATAGATTCCATTTGCTGACGATATGATGATCTGCTTGCAATTTCTTTTGTTAAACATTTTATACATTTAATACTGTTCAAAGAAGTTATTTAAAAAAAAACATAATTGATATCAATATTGTACATAGGCAAAGAAACATGATAGATAAGGTGATTATATTTTAAAGTAATAAAAAAAAACTGGAAATTATCCTATTATATTTTATATAGAGCATGCAGACTTTTGAACTCTTCTATGTGTACACTGTACATATTCTGATCTGATCGATCTATTCATCAATTTGATTTTTCTATTCACTTTAATTTACAGAAGATTGCACATCATAAATTATTTCGATAGGAAAAGAAAAATTAATCAGCATGAATGGGATTTTTTTTTACTTTACTTTAAATTTAATTTATACTTTCCCATTTGGGTCTCACCTATATTTTATTTTTTTTTTCAAATACGAACAAAAAATATATTACATTATATTGTTACATTCTTTTATGAGCGACTTTAACTACATTTTTTTTTCAACCATAAAAATTTATTTCTTCCTGTAATATCAACAATCTTCAATGAACTTCACATCATCATCATCAAGAGCAACAACAGCAAGCATGGGCATCATCGTATTCGCTGATTTTGTTCGACTAAATCTATGTTGCGCTTCTGCCGTTTGATCAACAAAATGAGATATGGAGAGAAATAAATTTAACCATGACCTTAGAATGAAATCGCTTGTTGAATAGACTGAAAATTTTAACGTTCATTATCAATTTTCATCCATGAGCATAGTTTATTCTCTTTTTTTTGTATTTTCAAATTGAAGCTTCCGATTGCACACATGCTCTATGTACATGAATATAAGTTGTATTTACTATCTGTTTTTTTTTCTGCTCAAAAAAAACTCTCTTGAGTGCATGAATATCTCTAAATTACTTAACGCCATCAATAAAAAAATTGCTTTTGACAGGGTAAAGCTTCACAGAATGAAAATAATATACAAGTACATTAAAAAATTTGTACTTTAACGATAAAATCGCCGTCAATTATCACCGTGCAATTAATTACCATATAAACCCATTGACTATGCATTTTATTCCAGCTGTCTCATATAACCTAATCTTATGGTTGGTAACAAACAAAAGCTGCACACGAATGCGAGATAGAGAAAGAGAGTGAGTGAGAGCAAAAAAATTGTTTGCGGAAATTATACAGATTAATACTTTACAGCAAATAAAGTAAATATGTATGTACATGAAAAATATAATAATTTCATTTCAAGGCCTTCAAACTTGCTTAGCTAAATGTGAGCGACATGAGATTTATCCGTATTATAATAGATCAGTTATAAAAAAGTGAACCTAAGTACATGCTGGCAACTAATGCAAAATAATCATACACGAGTTAATTCAACAAATGGAATTTATGAATAAATTCATAGATAAATTGATTGCTTTAGAACCTTTTTGTGCTTACTGTTTTGTCGGAGAAAATATTCAAAATCTTTTAATCACTTTGTCTTATAAGCTTTATTATATTTAATTGATTTGGATCAAATTGGATGAGATTATCAAATCCATCTTCATTTTGGTTAAGCTTTTATTTTCCAGATTATAATGTCAAGAACCTTGAGGTTGTCTTTTAGATCAAACTTTAATAAACATATTGAGGTAGGTCCTAACCATGCACTGACATTTTCAAACGACATTTACATGTGTAGAAGCACAAATTCTATTAATAACACAGTTTAAAATGCCTCCAGACCTAGTCAAAATGTTTACAGTTACATTTTAATTTTTAACTAAATAGCTTTAGATTTATAAAGAAGACATCACTTAAAAAATTAATGTGAATAATAAAGTCGAAATTTAATTAAATGATTTCATAAAATTAAGATTCAGCAACAATTATTTGGACTAATATTCACTAAAACAGTTTGCTAATTAGCGCGAAAAACGTAAGTCACTCTCCTACGTTAACTACTTCTATCTCATTGCTTGAACACTCCAAATATGAGAAATTTTTCAAATATATTAGAATTCATCATTTATTTATCTATGCGAACAGCAGTAGAATATTAAATAGAAAACCGGTAATGTAAATGGCTGTGATGTAACAATCTCGTGTGATTTATTATTATCATTTAGTTTAGAATGATATTAATCATTTTGTATTCACCGCTGGATATATTCATTCTCAGTTGCGACGACTTGAGCTTCTGACTTTTAATATCACCGAAATGCCCTTTTTCACATTTGAACAAAATGATTTGATCTAGAGATAATATGTCTTCATAAAATAAAAATTATATCTAGATCGTGAGATATTGTATGTCAGCTGATGACAATGATAAATTTTCAAATATTACTCTCAGATGAGATCTCATCCATAGAGTGTGTATTCACAGAACAAAATTTCAATTACATCAAACATTAAGCTTGTCGCTGCTACTATTTTTTTTTGTTCTAAATTGATCATTCACATTCGCAATTCATTCATTCATAGATCGGGGGATTGTGAAGACATCAGCTTAGTTCGAGCTGATTTTATAGCAGCACAAAGCTTTGTGACATTTTGTGATTCGTGTGTCAATTTTATTCTATTGTACTCATTTTTATTAAAGTGATATTTAGTGCTTAAGATTTTTGTTTCTGCCATAAAGTTTTTCATTGACTTTCGCTTAAAAAGTTCAACGCGTAGGCGAAAAATTTTTTTTAATTGATGTAATCGTTTATTAAGCTTCATTATCTGGTTAATATTTTTTTGCTTCACGAAAAAAAAAGAGACTTGATACACGATATTTTACTTTTTTTGTACACAATTACATTGATCTTGTATCTCGAGAATAGAATGTCTGGTATAAAAAGTATTGTATCATATGAGGAGAAAAAACCTCTTACACGACTCAATATCAAAACGACGATAGAGGAAGATCCAAGTTCATTAGATAGTGTGATAAGGTGAGAAAAAGCTTAATAATGAGTGAAAAATAACAAAAAGCAGTAAATGTTTTCGTGCTGATTGCCTTATTATTGAAAAGCTTATTAAAAAATTACATCTATGCACCAATCTATAGCAATCTTCCACTCACGATAGTGCCAAGTATCGCAAAATCGTTAGCATCATATGCCAATCAACAAGAAAGCTTGAGGTAGGTAATGGATGAATGGAAATAATAATGCTATGCAAAAAGTGAGAAAACTCAAAATACCAAAGACTGTATGTGCTGGGATGTTTATATTTTTTGGTTGTATTTTTGTGCAAATAAAGTTAGGATAGCTTGGATGTTTTTATTTACTTAACCATTACTTACTATGTGTAGACATGAGTATTATTATTGTTGAAAAAAATAATTTGAAGAAGGTCTTTTGAGTACGACATTTTGAGAAAGATCCTAAAAATTTGCAACAAAAGTGCGCATTGATCATCACTCGAACAATGACTTTCCCACAAGACACCTTTTGCATATATAAATATGCTATTAATAAATGATATTCAATTTTTAAAGTAATCATTATATTGACTCGGTATCGATTCGGTATGTGTGGCAGTGTAAGGGAAGTTACCCACCGTTGTGAAGCATTTAAGGCAATAAAAATGGCCCATTAAGATTTTTAAAGCGACTTAAACAAATAAATTTTGTTGCATAAAAAAAATGAAAATAAATGAAATTTTGCTCATACCACATGATCATTTCCTTTACTTACTAAGTGCATTTATCATTGAAACAAATTCACTCTGCAAACGTAAATATTTTCAATAAATATATATGTATTCATGTGAACATGCACATATCTCATTTTGTCGGCATTCGACTTTATTATTATTTGCGTAATTTATTTTGATAATTTATTGGCTCATACTTCGTTTCAGAATGATACGAAGTTTCTTTTGGAATCGCGTTTTATTGTGTAAATAATTTGTTATCAAGTCTCTTAAAATCATTCGTATATGATGATGAGCCACAAGCCATTTTTACTTCTACTTTAGATCTTTCTGATAGTTTGTGGCGAGTAGAAGTGAAAGCGTGACGCGTCTAACTTAATAATAATTATATTGAACAAGAAGTGGTGGATACAATTTGAGACTCTAAAATTAGTATCTGACCCCTTAAGTGATCTTAATAAATAACAAAAAATTAACTCAAATGCCACAGCAGAACGATAAAATAACAATTTTAGATTTAGAGACACCGCCAAGTCCAAGTGAAGATCAAAAATTATTACTTCCACCTTGGGGACAAAATGGACAGATAATCTATGTTGATTCTCCGTCATCACCTGGCTCACCATACAATACAGTCACGTCCCGTCCACAAATATCACCTGGTGGCAGTTTGTATGGAAGAAGGTATTGTTAATTATTATACCAAAGACATTCTCTCACTCGAATCGTCGAAGATGAGTAGCAAAAGAGTCATAAATTTAAAAATTTTATGTTAAAGCGATAAAAACTTTATGTGGCTTTTGTTGGGCACTCAACAGATTTATGTCTTTCTTCTTTACTACCCGCTCTTGCTAACTAGATTCTCCGTATGTGCACTAATTATATAACCTTAATTTTGCTCTACCGTCTTTTCCGAAAGAGAAAAAAAATCAAGTGGCATAAATATTTCGAAATATTTCAAATCAGATTATGACAGTAGGAAATCGACAAGTGCTTTTTTTTTTTCATAATTTGTCTTTAGAGTCGTTCACGAATATCGTAACAGGGGCTGAATCAAAAATAACTAGTTTTTCGAAAAAAAAACTTACGTTTCTCGTCATTAATTTGAATCAATACCTAGCCGGAACTTAAAATTCTTCTAAAAAATTTATAAATAAGTTAACAACTTTGGCTCACGTTTGAGGACGATAACTATTTTAAAGGCCCCCCTTTGGTATTAAACATCATATGTGAATGTGCCCTTAGCCTCAGCAAACATTATATTAACTTGAGAAATACTCAAATTGAGCGCGATATTTGTTTTTAAAAACTTTATCGTCACAATCTGTTTGCAATCGGATCTTGGGAAAATTAATTTTTGAGTAGTTCCATTAATTTAATGCAATCTTAAATCTACTAGAGAAAGTATTAATGATTGTCTCTAATCAAGGCAAGAACTGAGCTTGTAAGAGCAAACTTGAGAAGTCAGAGATAAATCCATTGACACTTAATAATAATAATAATAATAATGTGTGAAGGACCCAGCCTTTCAGCTGGAGGCACTGCGATTCAAATTAGAACAGAATCTATTGTACCACACCCTTAAGACCTACAGTTTATAGTGGGATCCGAACCACTTGCAAGCTCTGCACATTGCAAAGACACGAGTACGTCATAAGACCTGATGAACCCTGCAATGTACCTAGTCACAATTCATGTGCGCAAGATGCTGTAAGGAAGTCATCCAGATGCTAGTATATCCTTGTATACCTAGCAAAGGAGGCAAATTCTGTGCCAAAAACCTCAAAACTACACCCAGCACAGAACCGAGCTTCGTAACTAGAACGGTGATAACGAAAAAAGAACTTCGAAAATTAGACATGGCCTGGGATTGAACCCAGGACCTTTGGCACAGAAGGCCAACGCTCTACCATTTAGGCTCTACCATTGACACTTAATAGCAAACAAAAACATTGGATGGAAAGGGAAAAAAAGATATAACTTATTGCCCTGAATTTTTTTATATGCCCTTATCGTCATAAAAAACGACTTTGATTTAAATTGGATGATAACGATGAATAACTACACAAGATTTTTTTATTTCTCATAATGTCTCTCTTTCTTGCTTCTTTTGTCAATCACTTCAAGTTCAAAAATAATTCATCATCACAAACACATTCTTAATAGGAAGTAAAGTGCAATGATAAGCAATGAAGAGACATACTAAGTAAAGATAAACGTTCCACCTTTATGAATGTGAAATTAAGCGAAGCATATGTGTAAAAAATATCATTAAATATTTTTATTCGCATACACAGTCATCATGATGTGTTAATGTGCAATGTAAACAGTCAGAGAACGGCTCTTAATGGAATAACAAATGGGAAATATTTCTAGTAAATTGTATCAGATATCTTTAGTTGATTATGAATACTAAATGCAAAAGAAAACTTTGCAAGTGAATTGCTAATAATAGCGTAAATATTCATTCTTTCCATGATGACGAATAAGTGACGACACTTGATGAAAGAAGCTCAAGTTCCAATGATAAGATAATATTTGGATAGATAATAAAAATATGAAAAAGTATGAAAAGATTTCTTAATGAAATCCAGTAAAAATTAGAAACTTTCAGTTTTTATAAGTAATGTGAATATACAGCACCGACAGTCTCTCATTCTATAAATAATTTCGTCAGACAAATTTAATGACTAAAAAATTTCGAAATCGAGACCCTCATCAAGAGTATGAGCTGTAAATTGAACAACATAAATTTTATTGTGCTTTGATTACTTATCGTAGCTTTCCTTGCTCATTCTTTAATTTTATTTTTTTGTAATTTATTGCAGAAACCGCACATTTCGTCCAGGCACAAGTAAGATATATATTTTGAACATGAAAACGAGATGAAATATTTAAATTTCTCACAAGCTTCATTTTATCATTTTTATTTACCTTAGCTAAGAAGTATCGAAAGCGTGCGATCCTCAAGAATGGCGAGTGCAATATTGTCCAGTCAAAATTATCTCAAAAACGATTAAGGTTCCTTCAAGACACTTTTACAAGTAATTTTAAACCATATTCTTTACGTGCATCTGATTTATTTGGACTTTTAATTTTTATGCACTTTTTTCTCGCTTTTTTTTTATTATATTCGTGCCTCTCTTTATAGCCTTTGTTGATACTCAGTGGCGATGGACGCTACTTACATTTGGTTTAAGCTTCATTTTATCATGGTTATTTTTCGCAGTCATTTGGTGGCTCATCGCTTTCACTCACGGTGATTTTGAAGAAGCTCATCTTCCGGAAAATCAGGCAGAGTCAGGTTGGGCAATGTGATAAAAACCATATTCTTTATGAAAATTGCAGCACGCACATCTGATACTTTTGTTATTGAAAAATCAAAAGCATATGCTGGTTTATGTCAGTCAATTAAAAGACAAGCATTCGTATTAGATTTTAATGAATATCTTAATTATTATAAAAGGGTTTGACTGCCAATTAGTACATGCGTGCCTTAATATCCGCTTGACATAAACAATTAAGTAAAATTCTGTTTTTAACCATAGGTTGGAAGCCTTGTGTCTACAATCTTTATAGCTTTACATCATGTTTTTTATTTTCCATTGAAACACAGCACACCATAGGCTATGGTGTAAGAACGTAAGTTTCATTTAATAAATTAGTAATTATGTATAATATTTTCTCTCTTAAATCTTTCTCTTTCACTCCCTCAAACATTCCTTCTCACTTTTTAAGATTTACATACCATGTGCTTTACAAGTAGGTTCAGTGTTTGGAAAAAATTATAAATTTGGTTCATTCAAAGCTCATGAAAGTCAAAAATATTTAGGGGAATATAATTCTTGCTCTTTAGATAATATTCAATATTTGAAATGAATCAGCTCTGGTTACCATATTATTAAATTTAAATTTTTATCTCCTCATTAAACATTTCATGACAATCTTGAAATTTTCTAGATCAAACCATTCAAAAATATCAAGTATATTCCAGTATCTTTAAGTATCTTAAAGGAACATTTAATCAACCCTCAATACAAAGGTTGTCGTATAGCTTATCAAACTAAAATACTTTAAAAGCACAGAATACCAAATACTGAACCCCTTCCAATTAATATTTATATTCATAAAACCACAACTTGCAATATTAAAATTTATTTATTAAGTAAAACTTTCTGTGTTTGAATTAATTTCATGTTTGCATGCGCTAATCTTAAAACATTAGGACAACAGAAGAGTGCCCAGAAGCAGTTTTCATAATGTGCTTTCAGAGCATTTATGGCGTTATGATACAAGCGTTTATGGTAAGTAAGCAGTGAAAGATATACATATAGAGTAGCAGATAGATAGACAGATAGACAGATAGGGAGATAGAGTAAAAAAACTAGATTAAGACATGAAAAGAGATTAAGTGTAATTGAATCAACAGCAGCTAGCAGCAGCATTAACCTATGAATAAATAATTTATTTATCTAACATCAACAGGTTGGGATAGTGTTTGCTAAAATGACGAGGCCAAAGAATCGTACACAAACTTTACTGTTTTCACGACATGCTGTCATTTGTCAACGCGATGGCGAATTAACGCTTATGTTTAGAGTTGGTGATATGCGCAAGAGTCACATAATTGCGTCGAGTGTACGAGCTCAATTGATTAAGACGAAAACGACGAAAGAAGGCGAAGTAATGAGTCAATACACAACGGAACTTGATGTTGGTACAGACGGATGTTCCAATGATTTATTCTTTATATGGCCAATGATTGTGTGCCACAAAATTAATCACGATTCACCACTCTACACTATGTCAGCAAGTGATCTCATACAACAAGAACGATTTGAAATTGTTGTAATTTTGGAAGGTACGGTTGAGTCAACAGGACAGACAACACAGGCCAGAAGCAGTTACTTGGCATCAGAGATCTTATGGGGACATCGTTTCGAACCTGTTGTGACTTACAATAAGGAAAAGCAAGGCTATGAAATTGATTACTCGAAATTTGACGCGACTGTGCAAGTCGATACGCCGCTATGCTCAGCGCGAGAACTTGCTGAATATTACAAACTTCAAGATGATTTGCGTTCTACAGCTCCAGGTGGGAATAAATTTAAAGCTATATAAGAGGCGGCAGCAGTTTGTGTGTGAGAAAGAAGAAAGATGCTGCAATGATAAAAATCTCATAAATAAATGTATTCGTTGCTGTTGTGTATATTAAATGCGAAGATTCTAAAAACTGGCATTGCATTTCTGCATTATGCTGCATTATAAAAATGCGCACAAATATCATATTATAATGGATAGCAATGGATTTGTGTGTCCCATTTTTCAGAACCTTTGCATAGTCTTGCGCTTATTTTTTTCTCCATACTTATTTATACATAAATATTATAATATTTTTAGCGACATTTTTGTGAACAGTCCGCAATCATGTATTCACTTTGTTCGACTTAATGTGCTTATAATTTGGAAGATCAATATGGAGCTAATTAATGTGAGAGAGTTAAGATTGAAAAGACATGATTTATAGATTATTAAAAATGATAATACCAGATTACTGATTAAGTACGATATAAGTGCGCTTTGATCATCCAGTACTCGATGATATATATGCCATATTTTTATCATAATGTGTTTGAATATTTCTTCTTACTATTTTTATTTATTTTTTTTATTTCATTTTATTATATATGACTATTGTAAACATTAGTCGACGTAAAATTCTCAATTGGACCGAAACAAGAATAAGCTTAATGTGTGTCATGTATATTTATTAATGTTTCATGGGTGTTTTTCTCCTCTCTCATGTGCCTAGTGTTTGTATGTATGTATGAATCTATATATTAATCTATAAATTTATATTAAATATAACAATATTAATTTATAAGTACACTTAGAGTTTCTATTGGCAAAAGCAAAAAAAAAAATTCAATCTACAACTCACGAAATCGATGTCAATTGTTTATATCATGAAAAAAATAAAGTCGAAACAAAACTTTTTCTGCCATTTCAGAAAGATCGCAGTCATATCAGCACTTGCTTAATTATAAGCGGATTCCAGAGATATTTTCAATGGATTCCTTTAATAAAACACATCATCTCTTTAACGAGCACTCACGATCGCACACTTATCTGTCACCGAAATTAACTAGCAGGCTTCAGGCGAATATCCACAATTAAGCACACATGCTCACATTGTACCATATCATATCATATCATAATTTTTATTTTATTATTATTTTGTGTTATTTCTTCATTTCTCTCACATTTAAAGTATAGTATTTATGAAATAAGCAAGAATATATTTCTGTATAAAAGTATGTAAGCATTCACATACATCCCATAGGTAGAGAGGCTTTTGTTTGCCTTTTTAAGTGCATTCCTTAATAATAATTATGATTATGAATAAAAATGTTGATGATGATAGCAATAAATAAGTAATTTAAAACACATCTGATTCATAACAATGTTATGAAACGAGTTGAAATTAAGATTGAAAATGTTGGCATCATTAATGATATGTGCATACCGTGAAGCAACAGGCAACAATTTCGGTAAGGAAAAATAAAACAACAACCAACACACCAAAAAAATAAGAGTACAAAATAAAATGTTGATAAAGTCATAAAATTATTAAAACACTCATTATCGTTGGGCCGAATTGAGGGGAAGGAGATCTCACTCGATATTTCCCTGTTGATGTCTGAAACAATAAATGCAAAGTCGTGGCCTGATGAGAGGAGAGATGTTAAATTAATCATGAAAGGAAAATAAAATATTGTTGGTTCGCAGAAGTGATTTGATTATCCCCCTACCATATCATCTGCTTTTTCAGCATAAAACAAACTGTTGATGACTGAGTTGATTAAACATGCAGACAGCGAGCTTGTTGCGCATTTTGCTAATGAAGCAAAACTGTTTTGGGAAATAAAACACTGGAGTGCTTGAAATTAGGGGATTTATTTTATTAGACATACTTTGGGAGTCGTGCCGAGTTAGCTCAACTTTAAACAGAATTGATGTCAAATTTTAAATTTTTCTATGGCTCTTGTTTTGAATCATTCTCCTCTATTTTGGATGTCATAAACACTCTCTTATAAGTATAAATTGTTTTCAAGTTCAGAGCTTAAATTTTGAAAATTACACTTAACCCCACTCAACCACCTTGAGTGCGAAAGACAACCTGACCACTTCCGTCAATAACAACGCAAGATGAGCGAAATATGATGCCTACATTGACAAAATTGTTGCTTCAACATGAGACTCTTTAGAGGCTGGAGATTGCCCCTATAATCAAGGATTGCCTGGAAAGAATGATGTGATTAAGTTGTCAGTCATACACCTCCTTGCATGTGTTTTAAAAAATGGCCACATTTTGACGAGCATGTAAAAAATAAACATTGTAATTGATGTCTCTTTCTCCAAAGTCTCCTTTTATTTTGCTTCAGAGTCATTAAAATTAAAGCTGCAGAAAAATTACTGACTGAATTTTTTATATTTCCATAAATAAAAAATTTTCATTATCAAAAAAGATTTTTTTTTGCGAAAACACGCAATTAAAATCGTTTTAAAATCTAATTTTCTTTCACAAACTCGCCCATTTTTCAGTCTCCCTCTTATTGTTATGTCTACATTTATCAACAAGGTAGAGACACATGAAACAACAAGCGACGAAATTATTTTTCTTCTTTAATTTCTTTCAGGTAATTTTAATGATAAATGTTCTCGAGCAAACAGCTCTTGGGTTGATTGTTGATTTCATTTTTATTTTGCCCTCAAATTTTTTTCTTTCCTTTTAATTTGAGCGCAGATTTTGAAAATTGAGGTCTTGACTTTGACTGACTGGTCATTTTTATAGAAACAAATACAAATGACAAGAAACCATAAAATTAAAAAAGAATGGGTATCGTTGGGGATATAACTCTTTAGACTCTTTGGACTATATTTGTCATCCTTACTACACTCCTGGATATTATTGCTCTACTCCAATATTGGCATCATTAAAGTTCGTTTAAAATTATCGAAAAATTGTTGAAACATATTTTTAAATTCACACCAATCTATGCTCTGCTTGAACTTGATTACTTTGAGTTGCTGTACAAAGCTAAGTGCTGCTTAAACTTAAACAAATAACCATCTCAATGACAATGATGCTGAGCTTAAAAGAACTAAAACAAAAGCTTAGCTTCATAACTTTGCTCTTAGGGGCCCTTCAATTATGACGTCTAGAGGGGGGGGGGGGGTAGGGGGGGAGTCAGCAAGAAATTCCCGAAATTCCATTATTCTTTTTAGAAAAACGACCGTTAATTTCGGACATCATAAGTGAACGATCCCTTAATAAAATTCAGGATCTTCAACTTTGGTGTGAACATAACAAATAAGTCTTGATGACTTGTTTATTAATAAATGGTAAGTATAGCAGCAAATCAACAACATTAATTTGCAAATGTTGGGTATTCTCACATAACTCGATCAGTAATCAAGTAGCACCAATTATCGTCGTTTTTTGTGACGCGTCTGAGTGAAGCACCACAAAAAAGTGATAAATTTTCATCAATTAAAGACTTTTAATGGTACAAACGATGCTAAATTATTCGCTGCTGAAATGTTTCAGGCGGTAATTATTTGGCGGCAAAATATTTATTTAATCTTCTCAAAATACACCAAAAATAAACTCACTTAATATTCCTTTTTGTATGTAGTAACTTTTAATTTTGGACATGAATATACAACAGTTATTTTATGATGAACCAACACATATTTTTTTTGGATGCAATTTTTTTATTAGCAACAAAATGTGTCGAGAAAAAATTCACAAGCTACACCGAATATAAATATAAACAGGATCTAGTGTTACCTTATGTCATATTAAATAATACAATAAAGACTTCAAAAACGCAACTCGTAATGGAGCAGAAAAATGGCGAGGAATTTTATTTTTATTTTTACAACCGCGCAGACACACAAAACGACGAAAAACGAGTGAAATAAAGCACAAAATAATGTGTATGTCTGATTTGAATGCTTCAAATTCTTATAAACGAGAACAATGCCATTAAAAAACGACATTCAATTAAGATGTTTTTTTTTGTTACTGTACTGCGGTTAAAAGTTGTAGCTTTAACGAGAATTACAAGTTGTTATTAAGTAAATTTAAAAGCTACAAAGGAACAAATGCCGAAAAAAAGTGTGTGTATATAAACTGCAGCAAGAGTATATTTTTATGATTTATGAGCAGCACTTTAATTTTTCAACTGTATTTTTTTGCAATGTTAAATCAGTTCCAATTCAGCCTTTATGTATTTATTTGTACTTAAGGCTTCCAAAAAAAATGTAAAGAAAGAAAAACAATTTTTTAAATATATTTTTATTATAAAGATTGCGCGCCGTCGAGTGGTTAATGAAAAATGATCTGTTGACTCCTTTTTCATTGATAATCATCAATTTGTAATTACAAGGCATGCCATTCAAACCAAAACGTATTCATTTATACCAATATATCATCAGGTGGCTTTATGTATTTTTTTTTATGTTTATGAATTGGACTCAACTGATATGAGAAATAATTTCTTATTCCTTAACACTATACCTCTGCCATATACAGTAAAGCAGAGGAAAGGGAATAAAGCCATTTTGAGATTTTTTTTTCTCGATCGAGCTAATAACTTAGGCTGATAACAGCTGATCGAAAAAAAAAACGTAATTAAGTTTACTTAATGGAAATGTCAGTGTGATTATTCGCAGATAAAAAATTAATAAATAAGGATTGAACTCAGCTTACCCAAGAAGTTAAAAGAGAAATTTCATTTCTCATAAACATCTCTTTTGCCTTCCTCCTCCTTTTTTTGCCTTCTTTTTCTGCCTTTCGTTCGAATCATTTCAATTAAATCCTGACATAAATTTGATTTGTGGATAAATGTTAATGCATTCTGATAATGAGAAGAGCTTTATTGATTTCAATAACTCAAGCTTTTTGTCACTTTTTGATTACGTATATGAATATTATAGTGGACCATAGTAAACCATTATCAATTCAGCAACTTTACATTGCCCAAAAGCAAATATTCATGATATTATTCCAATATGTTTATGTTAGGGATGAAGACTACATTTTTATTGATTATGAAAATAAATTAAAAAGTAAATCAAATAACTTAATTAAATCTGTTAAGTTCTACTGCCCAATTGTAAGGATAGTGGAGTTTTATCGAAGTGTATGACTTAAATCTCATGGAAATCATACTTATATAGACATATTTCTTCTTTTTATTGCATGCCTCAAATTAGGCTTTTATTGACGTATCTATGCTCATGTACTTGCATAATCAATTTTTCACTCGAAAAAAAAATTAAGAATAAAATTAACTTTATTGCATGTTGAACATGTGAAATAAAATAAAAGGTTTTTCTCAGTCAATACTGTTTTAAGGTCTATATGTATATATGAAACACATTCCGAAAGTCACTTTTTCATTTTAAATGTACGCACGCACAAAAAAAAGAGCTCCAGTTTTTACATATATTCATTTTGAGCACAGGTTTGAAGGTGCATATTTACTTATATATATATTTTTTTCTGCTTACAATGAATTTTGATCTCATAAATCACTAGAGAATGGTTGGAAAAAAATGAGCTGATATTATAGACCTGCAAATTTTCTGAACGCATGTATCAATTTTGAATAATCTCTTTTGGTTTTAATGCAATTTTTCTTGTGCTGTCGAACGATCTTTTGTAGATACACGAAATGCATATAATACAACGCTTTCGCAAAGACAACTCAATTGGTCGGACAAGAAAGAAAAAAGAAAAACTTCTCCTTAAATTGGTTTCGGTCAAAACAACAGCATTCGTGTTCATCTGCAACACAACACACCAAAATGATCAGTCTCTCTTCTGCAATATTGACAGTCATGAAAAATTTCTCGCCAAATTATAGCGCATTATGCTAAACGATTTTCGCAGATCTCTTATTTTTTTTCTCACAAGTCTCAAGGATTGATTAACCATTTTTCTTATTTACAATCGATTTTTACTTCCATGCGTGTGACATATTAAACGTTAATATGTAATTTATGATTTTGATATATTTTTATGGCACTGCATGCGCTGTACGTATTTTCTTGTAGCTTTATCTGAGCGACATGTGAGTTTAATTGGATATGGTTTTGATCATTGATGGATTATAATTATTACACCTTGCAGAATGACATATTAAGAACAGCTTTTAAAGGACACGACAAAGAAACTACAATTCGCATGGAAGTGTATCGTCTTGACTATTCCTTCCGTAATATTGTTATCGATGTTATTATTATTACTACAGCAATGTGATGTAAAATAAGTAATATTGTAAAGATGCTCCTTTTATGAGGTTCCACAATCACGATAAAGACTTTAATATGAAGTCCGAAATACAATATAATATCGCTTAAAGGATGATAATAAGATGCTCCAGATAACTAAATTACAATACCTATCAACCTCTCTCTATAGGTATGTATATATGCTTGCCTGCCTACCTACCATCCTACTCAAATTGTGGCATTAATAAAAGGAGCGACGAGATAATAAAGTGAACAAGCGAGAATTGTAATTCGACAGAAAAAAAAATAAATGCATGCACATAAGTATTGATACATGGAAACAATGTGAAGCCAAAAATATTCCTCGATACACATTAAGTTAAAGTGAGGCAAAATTTTCTTATTATGAAGACTCTTTTAACTGGTCAGTTATTAAGTTTTTGCATGAAAAATTACAAACTTATAGCTTTTACTTTGTGTATAATAAAAAACGAGAACTCGAGTCAGTCAATCACGGCTAAATGTACACTTATATGTGGATGGAATATGTATAAAAATGATATAATTTTATATTATTTTTATTTCGGGAAATAAATGGGCAAAAATGAACTTAATTAATGATGCGTTTCACATGCGCCAAAATTGAT